TGAGGTAAAGGTTGTAATTATAGTTCTACTGAGTTTCCATCAAGGCGCTGCAGCGTAAGGCAAAGCAGCGTACGAGGTGCTGCGGCCAACGTAGCAGTGCTCTTCTGCGTCTAAGTTTCTCCCATATATTTATAGTTGCTGCAACAAAGTGATTATGGGCACATTCGATACCAAAAAATACATTACTGTTTCTAAGCAATCTGTCTGCAATGTATCAATCTTACATCACAGCAAATGTGTTACAGAACAATGACTGCACGAAATTATTTCTTACTTTCCCTAAATCTCTCTGCCTCTCTGCCTACTGACAGCTATAAATGTTGTTTCCTATTCCCTTTTATTTTACCTATAAAAATTTGTTCCTCTTAAATTTACCTATTTCTCTTTTTGCGACCACATTTGTATGAATCTGAAACCAAAAGTTTGTGCTCTGTAAAACTGAAGCCAAGCAAGTTAGGACAGAAAAGTGGTCACATATTTCTCAAAATTTATTAAGAAAACTGACATTGAATGGCTTTGGAAAAAGTTTTTTTAAGAAAATTCAAAGAACAAAACAGCAGCAGACTCAAAGACTCCAAGAAGGGACTAGTGGTCACCAAAGGGGAGGGATGGGGGAGGGCAGGTGGGGAGGGAGGGAAAAGGGGATTGTGGGGTATTATGATTGGCACACATGATGTGGTGGAGGGCTCACGGGGAAGACAGCGTAGCACAGAGAAGACAAGCAGTGACTCTGTGGCATCTTACTAGACTGACGGACAGTGACTGCAATGGGGTGTGGGGGGTACTTGATAATATGGGTGAATGTAGTAAGCACAATGTTTTTCATGTGAAACCTTCATAGAAGTGTATATCAGTGATACCTTAAAAAAAAAAGTTCAAAGATAACTGCAGCACCAGAACCAAAATTTCCAAAAACTTCATAAATGTGACAATCTTTTAAACATACTAAACAGCAATAAACACTAAAATAAGAATAAACTACTACACTGTAACGCACATTAAAAGTCAACATCCAGATGTTCCACCTGTGAAGTCAGTCTACGGCCCTGCTGATCAACTCTCCTCTGAGTTCTCCAGGCATCACAGCAACTATAAAAAGCCCTCTGACTTTGAGGTCACCACCTCAGTGACCATGGAAACCCTGAGACAATAAAGGTAAGAATCTCCTAAAATTGTACATGTCCAGTCTTACACATACTTGTTTTCTAACTAAAATCTGCCTACACTATCTCTTATGCCTAAGAGTTCACACAGACTATTACATTAAAAAGGCTCCAATATTTCTTAAATGTCAGTTATATATGTTAAAATATTAGAATACAGTGTTTTGTGTAAGTGAAGAGGTACATCATTAACATGAGTAATCTAACAGCTCTTATTTGTCCTACTTAATTACATCAACTTATATATGCTTGGTAAGTCTAAGAGACAGAAAGTTTGTAAGTTACAGAAAGCCTGTCCTTCAACACGGCAAACAAGCTTCCAGGCAAGACGGCCCTCTGTGAAATGAACTAAGTGGCCAAGTTCTTTCAGCAATATACTAGAAAATGTAAACCTAAGATAGAATCTATGAAAACATATTTAAACTTAAAGCCAACATGCGAAGAGAGGCAAGGGCTGTCACAGTCACAGGATTTTCACATTGTGAGAAACACTGTAACTCTCACACGGTTTGTTGTTGTTTAATGTATATACTCAAAAATAACTGCATGTAACAAGGTTTTAATGTCAGAACATAATCACAAAAACAATCTAACCCAGATAATACGCAAAAAAAAATTTTTAATTATGTATAAATTGCTTTTAAATTTCAGTGTAGGAGTTTTTCAGGTAGAATTTAAGCACTGGAGTTCTTACTTTGCATAAGAGTGGAGGGAACATCACACCAGATAAAAACAAATTAACTCAAAATGGATCAAAGGCCTAAATGTAAGAGTTAAAACTGTAAAACCCTTGGAAGAAAAAAATAGGTATAAATCTTCATTATCTCAGATTAGACAATGCTTTCTTAGATATGACACAAAACCGTAAGCAATACGGGATAAAAAGACAAATTGGACATATTAAAATTGAAAACTTATGCTTCAAAGGACATCATTAAGAAAGTGAAAAGACAACACATAGTACGGGAAAAAAAATTTGCAAATCATATCCCTAAGTAAGGAACTTGTATTTAGAGCATACAAAGAACTCCTATGACTCAATAACAAGAAGACAGCCCAATTAAACAATGAGCAAAGGATCTGAATAAACACTTCTCCAAAGAAGATAAGTAACCAATAAGCACATGAAAAGATGCTCAAAATCCTTAATACCAGGGAAATGCAAATCAGTATCACAATAAGGTGTCACTGGACATCTAATTTGGTGGCAAAATTAAAGTGACAGAAAATACCAAATGGTGACAAGGATGTGCAGAAAGTGGAACCCTTGGTACATTGCTGCCAAGAAAGAAAAGGAAAACAGCCTAGGCAGGTCCTCAGAGTTAAATGTAACGTTACCATGCAGCCAATCCCACTCCTACGTACATATCCAAGATAACACATCAACACAAAAACTTGCCCACAAATGTCCATAGCAGTTGTATATATTAATAGCCAAAACGTGGAAACAGTCCCAAAGCCCATCAACTGATGGATGAGTGAACAGAGAGAATGAGGTATTGTCCTTATCTCATGGAATGCTATTTGGCATTTAAGAATGAAGCTCTGATATAAATGCTATAACATCAATGAAACCTTGAAAATATCCTAAGTGAAAGGAGCCAGTCACAAAAGAGCACATATCATAGGACACCACTTATAGGAAATGTCCAGCAAAGGGCAAAGGCAAACCTAACAGGTATAGGTTTCTTTTTGGGGTGATAAGAATGCTCTAAAATTGTGCTGATAGTTGCACAACTGCGAATATACTAAAAACCATTGATACACATTTTAAGGGGGTAAATCATAACGTTCTGTGAATTAAATCTCAATAAACCTGTTCATTCTTTTTTAACACTCCTCTTAAAATTATATGCACTTTTACTTTATCTTTCTGTATTTTTTGCTTTTGTATCTTTCATTTTTATATTGCTCTCTTGTATCATCTCATTCACTATATTCTCAAGAAAATTAGGTTACAAATCTGTGGATTTTCATCCAAATTTTGTAAAGGAAAAGAATGCAGAGAAAACAAAGCCACAATATATCACAACTTTTTTAATGTAAATCTTATGAATGCTGATTTGGTTTTCAAATTTCCTGATGTTAATACACACCACTACTTTTCTAACCATGAAAAAAATTAATAAAATGACAAAAGGCATATAAACTGAGACCCTTCTCCTCACTTTGCTGCCTGTTCCTGTTAATGACCATGTTCTGTGTTTAGTGAAACTGCACAAATACCGGACCATGTGATCTGAAAATAACAACGATAAAGAACAATTTCTGGAGAACACACAAAAAATAATTTTAATAGACATCATCCTCTAGTATTGGGCAGGAGGGGACTGGGGATAGTTTTATTGGTATTATATTATTCTCTGTGCTAGTTTAGGGGGAAAAAACCCTTGCATTTATTTTTTAGTTAAAAATATTTTATCAGCTGCATTATTATTTCATTTTTGGTTCATGACTTACAAGAGAAAGAGTTAACTTTTAAACACATGGTAGAGGTGGACTATCTTTTTGTCATTGCTTTACCATGTTACTTCATTATAATCAGACACCAAATGATCTGTGTGACATTGTCTCTACATTATTTGTTGAAAGTTCCTTTGTGGACCACTGGATCATACATTTTTACTAATGTTCCAAGTATGCTTGAAAAATCTGAATCATCTTTCACTGTTAGGCACAGAGCTCTATACATACTCATTAGACCAATCTTGCCTTTGTGTTGTTCAAATCTTCTTTGGTCTTAATGAGTTTATGCCTGCCTGCTTAAGTCTTTTACAGATAGAAGTGCTTATCAAATATTATAGCTGTATTCTTCATTTCTCCTTGTAATTCTAGTAATTCTGCTCTCTATATTAAGACTGTTATTTAGTCCAGGTTCAAATTTATTACATCCCCCAAGAGAAGTGTTCCTTCTATCATCATGCAACGGTCTCTTCGTTTTTGGCTGTAAGTCTTTGTTGTCTGATATATACATTATTCTATCAGCTCTCTTCCAGTTAGTATTTCTGTATCAGTGAAGGCTGATCAGAGAAGTAGAACCACTATGAAAATAAGAGCTATTATAGAAATGTGGACAGTAACGGTGGGAGCTGGCTAAGCAGTTTATGTAGGACTATTGCTTCTACATAGTTTTAGGACAGAAATCAAGGCGAGCAATGGGGAAGGAAAGAGGATGTGAAATGGGGAAAAGCAAGATCAAACTGGTGTTCACATGCATCTCTCAGCCACCTTGATGATGTGAGTGACCTGCAGCATAAGCAGGCACCCTTCACCACACAGCCAACACATCTGACTCAGGATTTAGAGAACCTGAAGGAGAAGACCCAGTAGGAACTGGAGGAGCTGTAGGCCTGGCTACTGCCTAAAGCCAACAGAGCAGTGATGAGGTATATGAACTGCAACAGCGCCTAACCAACCTTCTGAACATAACCACAATTGTTGCTTCCACCTTAAAATCTTGTGCAAATTTCTCTCTTTAGCCAGCCTAACCTGGAATCACTCTGGAAAGGGAGTTCTAGGATATGGAGTTCCAGCTCAATTATGTTGATGCAACACAATGCTCATCATAATTCATATGGATATTTTATTTCAATTCTACAGTTTTATTCTTTCAGTATAATTATGTCTTAGATATGTCTCTTGTAAATAGCTGGATTTTTCCTTCATCCTATCTCAAATATACCTTTTAACTTCGATGTTTAACCCATTTACATTTATTGGGATTTATGACTTTCATATTTTAAAAAAGATCTTTTAGAAATGAAGTAATATCTATACCAAAGATATGTATAAATTTTGCATTTTTGAAATATTTTCTATACATATCTTGTTACTTACCACTTCTCCAGCAGAGGCAGCCAACATATGCTTTACAGGTATCAGGTATGAAGCTGAATCACTGTGCAAAAACCATTTCACATATTCATAGGTGATAAAAAAGGCAGCAGCTGAAATTTAAAACAAGCAGTCTTTCACAAAGTTTAAATAAGTTTCTAAAAAACAAATTGTAACTCTAATTATTAAATTATGAGATAAAAGATAAAGATAATAATAAAATACACACTCTTCCTCCTCCCCATCCCACTAACTCCTGTAGATTTTACTGAGCCCATGTTACATGCTAAACCCTGGGCTTACAAAAATGCAGACAACATGATTCCTGCCCTGGGGGGCGTGACAGCTAACCTGGCATTTCCCATTTTGTACTAACATATCACTTAACCTTTTTTAGTAAGCTTTCTAGAAAGGGATATGATTTTGTGGGATCCAAAATATCTTTACATAATCATAAAAAATTCAGCTACAGTTATTTACAGACAGGTTAAAATTGCAAACATACCTTAACTAAAAACAAACAGTATGTATTTGACAATGCTTCATGACTGGTTATTCAAAATGATCATACCCACTTTTTTCTGCACCAACTCACCCTTACATCAATGAAACAACCATTTAATTTCAACTGGAAATCAAAATCTCGAAAAAGCAACCCCCATCACCATGAACTAATCTTGACTACACAACAGGGCTTTAAGACTTGCCATGTACTGTCCAACAAAAGACATTTTTCATTTCTATGAAAAATTAGACGTGAAAGATAAATGAATGCAAGGTCATCCTTTGAAGGGCATTTGATCATGTCACATTAAAGTCTGAAACACTCAGGGAAAGAGCTTGATAGTGGAGGTCAGTTCTCCACAGATAAAGTCAAGAAGCTTGAGAATATTCCTCAGGCTGCAACCACCACCAGCCAGGTGATCCCAGAGGAGCAGTGACCAATGCAGGCAGTTTTATACAGCTGGCTCAAATCTCTTCAGGTGATCGGTGCCTGCACCAGGACCTCATTAGGAGCCACTGCCCCTCTCCCACAAATAAAACAATAAATGACACACAGTGGGTGCTCAGCAACTTACTATAATCAATTACTAAATTCAAGGATTAACCTCAAAACAGTTTTTACTCTTTTAGTCATTGCTGAGGAAGGGGGTGAAGAACAAAGAGAAACCAAATGACCAAATGCTATTTTTCTCTTTGCACTACAAATCTTTATCTGAATGCTGTGCTCACAGATGGACAGAGATGGACATCTAAACATCAAGTAAACATGAAACAATGTCTCATAAATTCTAATGAGAAAAAATAAAATTTAAGAATCTTCAGCAGAGGTTTTTTTTGGGGGGAGGGGTTCTGCTTACTTGGTTTGCTTCCAAGTGCCACTCAAAGCATTGGTAAACAATTATAATGAAATAAGTATCTGAAAAAAGGATACCAGTAAGTGTATCAAATAAAACAGATTCCTTTGATTATGGAATATGAGGGCCACGAATCATAAAATAAGCCTTCAAACCCAAAACAAAAGCAAGACATGGAAAGACAGTATCCAGGAGGAAGTTAGTGGGAGTCGGCTGCATCATCTACGAGCAATTTAGTTAACACAGAAAGGTGTAATGCCTCTTAGGACCCTCTGCTCCAGAAGAATCTCCAAGGCAGTAGTTATTAAACTCAGCTTCACCCTGGAATCACCTGGGAAGGTACAAAACCCATTACTCAGGCAAAGCCCAGACCAATTAAACTTACCAGGGATGACACGGGCATCAGGATTTTTAAAGCACCCCAAGAGATTCTAACGTGTAGGCAAGGCTGAGAACCACTGCTCTAAGGTGTCATGATCAGTGTTAAGGACGCCAAATGAGAAATTTTAACGACAAAACCAATTTTAGCAAGACTGCTTTCAAAAAAGATTGCTCATATTTTTCCCATTACAAATCCAGTGAGTGGAATGGGTCTACAGCACTAGTTGACTAAAAAATAATGGCTTATGAATAGAAAACAAATTCAGAACATAAGCTATAATACATAAGGAATTCTATGTGGAGTAACACAACCATTCTGGATAAAAGTCCCATTAACCTGGCTTTATGGCAATGATAATTCTTACCATTAGGAAAGGATCCAATGGCAGTAGAAGGAACCCCAGCGTATATTCCGCGAAAACCACCTGCCTTATTAAATCCTTGGGGACTCTGCAGCCTGGTTTTAACGGTATCCAGAGGAAATAAGATCAAGTCGACGGAGACACCTGCTACTCCACCAGCCTTTAAGAAAAAAAAAAGGGTGGGAGGGTAGAAAAAGGAAAAAAGGTTACCATAAGCTCTCTTCTATATAGGTAGACATAAGACGACTGTAGTCTTTAAACCGTATTTCTCATGCCTATCAGTCCGCAAACTATTTGGCATAGTCAAAGGACCTTCCACATAACTCTAAAGGTTTGCCTGGGGAGATAACCACTACTACACTGTATTTTCAAATCATACATTTTGAGAATTTTTCTTTTTAAAGCAAATTTTTAAGTGAATTTACTTTTTTATGAAATTTAAATTCATTTTTAATACTTTTCACATGATTCAAAAAAGTAAAAAGCAAACAAACTCACAAAGAAAAAGGCTTCAAAGTCTCCTTCCCTGCTCTAGTAACTCAGGTAACCACTTTTATTGGTTTCTTATTGTATCCTTCCCAAGTTACTGCAGGCATATTATGTAACTATGAAGATGCATTTCATTTTTTTCTTAAAAAAGGTGTATACAATATGCACTGTACTACACCTTATTTTTTTCACTTAATTTAGCTGGGTGATCTTTCCACATCAGGCCAAATATTATATTTTGTCTTTTCTACTAAGAGTACAGAATCTGCAGTAAGGATTTTTTTGGGAGGGTGGGGTTCTATTTTGAAACAGGTAATGATCCTTAAGATTCTAGATCTGTATCTTAAGAACCACACATATAAGGATTCCTATAGTATTCTCTCTATTTTGTGTATATTCAAAAATTTCTTGCTACTTTTCAAATTCAGTGAGTAAATGTGTGTGGGCGGGGAGAGGGGGAAACTAAATTCCTAGAGGTCATTAAAGCCTGGCCCAAAATAGTCATCTCCCAAGAGACACCATGTTGCTCTGGTGAGGCTTCACTTTAACAATAAGTTTGCACCTCATAATTAATTACAGGGGAGTGTATGTAGAGTATTTTAAAACCGGTTATACTTTACCAAAGCAAAATGAAATTCAGAAAAAAAAAAAAAGGAAGCATCAAAGAAAAGTGAATACACAAAGCCTAAAGGCACCAAAACCAGTTCACCATTAGCAGACGGAAGAATTACAAAGAACATGGTTCCTACATTTTTCTTTTGTATTTTGAATCATTTATCTTGGAGATCTATTCACCATGTGAATATATTGCCTATCCAAAAGGTAAAAATGCACATTAAAAACCCTATGCACCATAACATAAAAAAGAAGAATCAGTATTCAAACATACAGGCAAAGTTCAAAGTGATAACTGGTTTGCTTCCATCCTTCGGGTCTACAAAATGCCAAGGTGGTACAAAGCTCAGGTCCTAGCAAACACCCCCTGCTCTACCCTCCACTCACTATAGAACCACTGCAGTTCTCTGCAAAAACGAAATTACTCTGTTGAGGAATCCACTCGCTACAATAGGTAAATTATTAAAAATTATTCTGCACTAGAAATGCACATTACCATAAACATTAACAGTATCTGATCAGCTTGAAAGACACTGACAAAACCTGAAAGACCACGAAGGCCTACTCTGTGAATGACCTACAAGGAAGTCATCAAAACAACAGAGATGCACCAGCAGACAACCTTAAGAGGTAGTATAAGAATGACAAATAATAGGCAATTTCTTTCTGCCGATAAAGGTGGCCTCTTCTAAGTCATGGGAAATAGGTTCACAAGTAATGTAGACAAGTTAAGAAAGAGCCAGCCTTTGTCAGCATTGTTCTCACTTCTTTTTAAAGAATTTTGTAAAATTAGTATGTAAATAAAATATTTTGCCTGCCTCTTAATTTTCGCAAAACAAGAGAAGAACTAACATCCTGCGAGAAAGTCTAATATGACAGGATTATTCAAAAATACACTGCACTTCATTCTAATCTTCTCTTGAACCTCAGGAGAGGGGTTGAGAGATGCCTGCTATCTACTGCCGAATTTTCATCAGTAAGGTAACTGTCCGTTTAATCTATTAGGTTACTTTGCATGCACTGATTCCCTAACACTTCCTCCAACAGATTTCTTACCTTCTGTGAATGAAACGACCAGATTCAATCTATTTATCTAGTAAAACATGTATTAAAAGTTACTAATTGCTACTGCAGATTTCAAACTTCTGGACTCAAACGTCATTTAAATCCATGAGACTAGGAAAAACAACAGCTAACAGAAGAGAAGAAAAAGAATGCCTACCTATTTAGCCACACAGCACAACACAATTAAGATTTAAATAAAAACTTTAAGAAGTGCTTACATTACATCATATTGTTTTATACACAATTACGTACAAACATACAGGCCAACAGCAGATTAATATAAGTCTACCTAATTCTTTAGCATAAGAAATTTTTTATTTATAATGACTTATCAAAGAGGTTATTCAGGCAAAGGATGACTTTCAATATTTATGGTAGCTTACATTGAAAACTCTAAGAACTAGACAAAATCCAAAGATACAGAACATAACCCATATAAGCAGCAAGTTTTTCCACAGCATAACAATTTACTGAGACCTCGATATCATACAGATTAAATACACATCTCCACTTTAAGTTATTAAGTGTAGAAAGTGCAGGCTAGCTGTGGAGGGAAAGTATCTAATTAGTGCTTTGAAATGACTCTGGGATTTGAAAAACGTCAAGCTCACATACCATAAAACCTTTCTCTCTCAAAAGGAGGCTAGCACAACAGGAAAAAAATTATGCTGTTCAACTGCAGGACAAAAGCAAAGGACCATCTAACTAAGCCAAACCATCACTGTACAAGATGTGATGGCTTAACTGCAGCTCAGAAGAACCAGTGAAAACATTAACATGGCTTTTCCAGGGAAATCCCTCCCTGACATTGTTTCCTCCACAATGAAGTGGCCACCGGTGACTTTGAGCAGGGCACTGGAGAAGAGCTGCCTCCGCTCCTGGGCCAGGCTGTCTTCCCGGCTCACCGCTGCTCCTCCCTGCAGTGGGCCCCTCCACACTAATGGACACCAATTTTATAAAATGCAATTTCTAATTGCATCTTGCCACTCTCCAGCCTGTAACTCTACCAAGCTTTCCAGTGGCCCTTAGGATGACGAGCAAAAGTTTAGTACAGCCTACAAGGCTCTAGGAGTTCTGGACCCCATCTACCCCTCTGCCCTCAACGCCACCATTTGCCCTTTGCTGGTCACCCTCTTGTCACATTGACCTCTCTTTGCCTCCCAGTCATGTGATCTTCCTCATTTCTAAGACTTTGTACAGATGCTCCCTAATGGCCCATTCTAGGTGAGGCCCTCTTGTTTTCATACGCGGATCATAATTACATTCTATAGCTGGTCATCTAACCATTTCTTCAATGTCTGTATATCCTACCAAAGTATAAGATCCACACCTGTTTGTTCACCGGTATGTTCCCAGCACCAGTACATAGCAGGCCCTCAAAAACTATCTGAAGAATGAATGAATGAATGAATGGTTCTAATAAAGGGTCACCACCCATACCTCGGAAGATACTACAAACCAGCCTTAAAAATATATCATCACTTCTTTTTTAATTACGTAACACAGGACCAAGCAATTCCCAAAAGAAAAATACAAATTTTTCAATAAAAAAAGAAAACATGCTTCCCCATCATTAACTACCAAATAAAAAACAAACATTTTCCAATTAAACTGAAAAAAATTAAAAATATGAAGAATAGTTATAGGCACTATAAAAGTAAACATTTAAAATCTATGGAAGTAAAATTTGGTAAAATGAAAATTTTAAACTATAAAATCCCTGATTCACTACTTATTTCTGAACATTTCTTCCAGAGAAGTGCAGAAATACACAAAAATGTTTACTACAGCATTGTTACAACACTAAAAAAGCTGGAAATAAGCTAAATTATGTTATATCGAGTAACGAATTGCTACACAGCCATTAAAAGAATGAAGTCAATCTGAACTCACTGTCATAGAAACATGTTATATGCTTAATCAAATAAGCTTAGAACAATATATGCTGTAAAATTCCACCTAAGAAATGTGTATCTATTTTTATGTGCATAATTAGAAATCTGGAAGCATACACACTAAATTGCTAGAAGTATTACCTCTGTGTAAAGGGATTTTTGAATGAGGAATATTTTTACTATCCTGCTAATTTTTCTATTGTTCAAGTTTTGTAATTAGTATTACAGACATATAAAACTATTCAAAATTAATACTACACCCAAAACATAAAAACCTATTTCACTGGTTGCATTTAGTATATAGTAGGCACTCAGTGAGGGGTAACTAAGACCCTCAAAACACTTGGGCCCTAAACTATGTGTCCAGCTTCATTGCACAGATTGTTGAGGACCTTAAGCCTCGTCCAATCTGACACCTCTGTTTCCCAAACAACTCCTGAAACTTAGCATTTTTCTGCTCCAGCTTAGGTTTTTCTCTCATCCTGTAATGCCCTTCCTGTGTTCCTTGTCTCCTGTGTATTGGAGCCAGCAGAACATGTTTCCTGCCACTGCACACATGCATGCACACACGCATCCCTGCCAAAATCCTGTTCACTGGTTAAGGCTGTGACCAAATGCCATCTCTCTCCTAAGGCCCTTCTCAATCCCCCAGTCAGGACTAAATGCTCTGTCCTTGATGACCCCATATAATTCTTTATTTTTCATGTCTGGCGCTCACCGTCTTGTCTGACATAAAATCCTTCAGAACAGAAGACAGGTCAGTCACCTGTGCCTCTGAAGCACCCAAGCCAGCACCACATACACTTCAGGGCTTCGGCACTTGTTTGGTGGTTTGAATCAAACGGAAATGTGAGACAACAAGAAAACACTTTATGGGAAGATTAAATGTTCGGAGGGAAAACTGCAGTGAAGCCCTCTCTGGGTGTCCCTGTTGTGGTTTGCCGCAGCACTTGCGACACCTGAAAGCTGGTGTTAATGGTCTGCTACCATACTTCTTAGCACCCACAGCTACACTGACAGCTGTTACATATTAAGAATGACTTCTCCAGATATCCTCTGTTGATCGTCGCCTCCTGATAAAAAAGACTAGGTAGGT